GGTCTCCTATGCAGGTGCAGGGCCCAAGCACTTGGGCCATCCTCCACTGCCTTCCCGGGCCACAGCAGAGAGCTGGCCTGGAAGAGGAGCAACTGGGACAGAACAGATGCCCCAATTGGGACTAGAACCCGGTGTGCTGGTGCCGCAGGTGGAGGATTAGCCTAGTGAGCCGCAGCACAGGCCCACCATGTTCTTACTGTCTTATACCTTCCCTCCTTGTATCTTTGTTTCCATCTCTATCCTTAGGATTAATCTGAGACAAGCATGGATGAGAGTAGGGCTCGACCACAAAGCAAGTTAGATGATAAAGTAAAGAAATTGTGTGTGCTTGGTGAGAAAACCCCAAAGCATACTAGTCTACATCCTACCTTTGAAGTGGGTGCAGGGTTCTCTGTTTCTGGAGAGTTGTATAAGCAGCTGTTAATTTTTTTGTGTGTGTGCAAAAAGCTGTGACTGGTTCTTATTGCACTACAAGTAAACTTGGTTTAAAGAAGTTGCTGATGGTTTTTATATTTGGGTCGGACTTTTTTTGCGGGGGGGAAGGGCAGTAAGTTGGGCGTGCTCCTGCCCTGCTCCACAGGTTTCTGTCCTATCAAGAGGGCTCCTTGGAGGGAGGAGGAAGAAGGGTGGGAGTGAGGGCGACAGGAACAGTAGGATGGGGAAATCACTATGTTCTTAATTTGTATATATAAAATGCATGAAGTTTGTATACCATAAGTAAAAGATTTCTGTATTAAAATAATACAGGGAAAACATAAACAAAAAGCAAAAAAAAAATATAGGGCTCCTTTAAAATATAGGGCTCCTTTGGTATTCTTCCCGTTGGGGGTGGACAAAGAAGACAAAATCCCTTTTTTTTTTTTTGCTATTTAAATGCTACAGGCAGAGTGGACAGTGAGAGAGAGAGACAGAGAGAAAGGTCTTCCTTTGCTGTTGGTTCACCCTTCAATGGCTGCCGCGGCCGGCGCACCGCACTGATCCGAAGGCAGGAGCCAGGTGCTTCTCCTGGTCTCCCATGGGGTGCAGGACCCAAGCACTTGGGCCATCCTCCACTGCACTCCCAGGCCACAGCAGAGAGCTGACCTGGAAGAGGGGCAACCGGGACAGAATCCGGCGCCCTGACCGGGACTAGAACCCGGTGTGCCGGCACCGCAAGGCAGAGGATTAGCCTAGTGAGACATATCTTGAAATTTTCAAATAAATTCACTGGAGAGCCTTAGCTTCCCCGATTCCCTTATTTCCCCTTAATGTGAGTTGAATAATGAGTTCTGCCATCCTGTGTATCACTGGTTGGTAAACCCACCCAATATTGCCTTCAGCTGTGAGGTCATCTGGTTGAAGAAATAATGGTCTTGTACTTACTGTAGGGCCAACAATATAACTGAATGTTTCGTTCATTTAGTGGGATCACTGAAAAATACAATGAAAGGTGTAAAATTTTGGAGAAAACATCCACAACAAAAGTGTGTAGGAACTGCCAAGGAAGATAGTTTTCTGCTTGAGGCTTAATGGGTGGTGGGACAGTTTGGCCCTAACACCTTACAAAATAGTAGGCCAGGCAGCTTCATGCTGGAAACTACTAAAGGCCAAGGAAGGTTTTCCTACTTGCCATATTGAGTTCTGTTTTTCTACAGAAATTTAACACACATGTGATGGCTTCAAACAATGGGAATTTGCTCTCTTACCTATCTGGAGAAGAGAAATCTGAAATCCCAATGTCAGCAGGACCCCGTCCCCTACAGAGGCTCTGGATGGGAATCTGTTTAATTCTTTTCACTTCCATTGTTTGCAGCTCCCTTGTCTTGTGGTGTCATTACTCCAATCTCTGTCTTCACATGACCTCCTCTTCTGGGTATCCATTATCTTCTTTACATTTCTAAATAAAGGATAATAGGCATGTTAGGGCTTAATCCAGGTAATCCAAGGTGAAATCTCATCTCAAGATCCTTAACATAATGACATCTACTAACACTATTTTTTTGACAAATGAGGTCAAAGCCTTAGGACATGCACACATCTTTGGAACAGCCAACATTCAGTGCTCCACAAACATCAGATACTCTGATTTTGCCTGTTGACTGCAGTTTTCAGCATAAGAGAGCAGCTGTGGTGAAAGGCAGGGAAAGTGGTGGCTGTGGCCAAGGACTGTGAACCCCAAACACCAGAGGCTCCCGATGCCAGTTGTTAGAATCAGCCTGTGACTGATTCCATACAGCCTCTCTGGATTTTGTTGAAAGCTTTCCTTCCAGTGAGGTTTTTTGTCTGGTCCACAGTTCTAACAGAAACTCCTGCCCCTCACACCCACCGTCTCAATCCTCCACAAGCTACTTGACTGCCGAACCATCTGTGAGTGTCCTGTGGGGCCCCATGGGCTGGCCAGCCATGGGGTCCCCATGTCAGGGCTTGGTCTGATAGCTGTTGTTGTGTCTTTATTGCAAGGCGGATATTGCTAGTTTCGGTTAGGGCAATGCTTTCCAACGGTCGGGACTTTCCAGAGAAGTTGAGCCTGTCTCGTAAACAATAAGATGGCGCCAAGGACTGTGCAGTGAGCCTGCCTGCTGCTTGACACTTCATCTGATTGGCCTGAGGACGCGTGCACACCACGTGAACAAGGAGCGGATTGGAGTGTTCCGTGCATGGACTAGAGTCCGCTTGCGATTGGTTGAATTTTGTATATAAGCTGTGTGTTCAGGAAGGAGGGGGCTTTTTTCTCTCTCCTCTCTTCCTCCTTTCATGCTTTCTCTGTTGCTGTTATTTTCTCAGTAAAAGTCTACTGAAGACCGATTAGCTGCGAGTATCGTTGTTCCTTTGTGGGCAAGGGAACGGCAGTGTCCAACCTACTAGACTATTACTACAATGAATGGATTGGTTTCTTTTCTCCCCTCTACAAAGAATGCAGTCTGCACAAGTCAGGATTTGTACTTTCTTGTAACTGATACTACCATCAACAGTCATCCCTGACACAGCCTAGAGAGTCAGTATACACGCTGATAAAAATGTGCATGAGCTGCCTTCCTAACATGACATGGATCTTCCATAAGCATGTCACACTACTAAAAAAAGACTGTCTTGTTGCCAGGACTCTGTCCAATTACCCAAGGCAGATGGCTAGGAAAGACCAGGGCATGTGAGCACCACAGTCATCTCCTCCGTCTTCCTCCCCCTCGTCAGCATCCACACTTTCAGCTCACGCACACATCATTTCATCATGGCTTGGAAAATGGCAGGATTAAGCCTTCAGGCTCAAGGCCTTTGCTCTGGATGCATTTAATTTCTCCTTCTCACACAGTCACAGCAACTTACCTAAAACCTACAGATCTTCTCATCTTTGGGATTAAGATTCTTTCATGACCCCCACACATTCAGGAAAATGGGCAAATGGTACATTTGCATGTGCGCTGCCTTAGTAGAATCCTGCAGGTGCATCTCCAAGACTTCAACTCTCAGCCACATCTGAATGCCTCTCCGATGTCCACCGGAAAGACTTGTGTGGCATCATCTCTGGATAAGCACTTCATGGAAGATGACAGAAGCTGAGAGAAATGGTTGTACTTTACTTCTCTTCCCATTTTAATGATGCTATTGCTGGGCTGTGAAATATCTTAAACAGATTGCATTCCCTATACATGAATTTGGTGATGACCAAGCAGAACTCCAGTGATTTGTATCTTGGTTTTTTTAGACTAAAGAGAATCTTTTGTGATATTTTAAAGTAGCATGGTAAATTGAACTAAATTCAAATGTGAAGTAATGACAAAGCAGGCATGGGTGCTTTCTTTCTTAGTCACTTTATACAAGGAGCTGGTTATCAGGCCTATCTGCGCTGGGAGGAAGGATCAGGAATCCATAGGCAAGCCTGGCTTCAGAATAAAGAAAAATGTACACACAAAAGGACGGTTCAGTAGTTATAGAAACCACTAATAATGAGGACCTAATTACCTTTTATTCTCCTTTCTCTTTTCCATTCCACCATCTCCCTGGGGACAGCATGGAGACAACTACTTAACTGAGGCCCTTCCAAACCCCAAAGTGTCACTGCCCCGAGTAAAGCCCTAGGCCTTCTCCCCTAAAGAGTCTGAATCACAGGGTGTGTATATCCTTTCCAAGGCCCAGAGCACCTGCTGTAGGAAGAAATTCCTCCTGGCACTCCAGGAAGCCAAGACCATTGACATCGAGGTAAAAGATGCTGATGATGTATGTCTACCTCGACATCTCTGATGTCCTGTACTTACTGTTGGTCCTCATCGTGGGAACTCTTGGTGTTTCCTGTGCTGAAGACAGTCACAAGACTGCATTCCTGAGAATGGCTGCTGATGCTGTTCACTGACTCATGTAGGAATCGACGCAGTGAGAGTGGTGTAGATGGTTTTTTGCCACAGTACTGGAAAAGGATCAGCTAAGGCCCTCTCATTCCTGTGGGCCTCCCAGATAGAAGAAAAGTCTTCTGTTTGAGAAATGACCATGGTCATGGCAAAAGCTCTTCTGTATCTGAGGACCTAACCCACTCCTCCTGAAGGTGAAAGAGCCTAAGGATGCCCAGGTCCACATCAGACGCCTAGTTTTCTGGCTCTGCCTCTTGTTCAAAGGCAGGGAACTCAGTGTCTCCCTGGATCCTGCCAGGGAGAGGAGACCTGATGTTGGGTCTTCACAGCCACCATCCAGGCTGTGCTCAGGAGGGCCCTGGGCCTCTCCACCTCCAATGTACATTGGCTGGCTGGAGGAGACTTCCCAGAGCCCCAAGAGGTCATCGATCGTCAGTCATCATAGAGGCTTTTCGGTGGGGTCCAGAGAGGGACAGAGGTGGGGGCAGGCTTTGGGATGAGAGCAGGTTCTGGTTCAAGTTGGGGCCTGGGTTAAGGAACCTTGGGTCTGTCTCTCTGGGAGCCACTGTATCCCGGGCAGCAGGTGCCACGACGTTACTGTTATGGATGCGGTTCAAGAAAGTGTGCACTGGCATGCTGTATAGTGGAGAAATACTGTCCCATCTCTTTCTCTCACAGTCTCCCCAGGGCCAACATGAAGATCGCTCTGTGCTTGTCACTGAACTGACGAATGTCCTCGGACGTCACCTCCCTGCAAGTGTCTGAGTGACACGGCTGTGGATTCCCTTCCCAAAATCAGAGCTGCCTGCTGTCGGAGGAAACTATTCCTGGGCCTCCAGGGAGCCGAGATGTTCATCATCGAGGTGAAAGGTGCAGATGACGTCCACCTCAGCTTCTTTCGCCTCCTGGTCTTCCTCGTGGTCCTGTTCTGTGGAACTCTCGCTGTCACTGGGTCCGAGGCTAGTCACGAGGCTCCAGTCCTGTGAATGGCCAGGGATGTTCTTCACCTCCTTGGGTGGGGCGTCCACCCAGTGGCACTCGTGGGGCTGGTTTATGGCCACAGTACCAGAAGGGCCGTCAGCCAGGGCCTCCTCCTTCCTGTGGGCTTCTCAAATAGAAGCAAGCTCTTTTATCTGTGAACTGACCACACTGCACAGGACTGATTATACAGATTCCGAGGAGCCCACAGTCTCCTTCTGGAAAGGAAGGAGACTGATGATCTCAATGTCCTCCTCCCCACAGGCCTTGTGTTCTGGCCTCTCCCCAAAAGCAGGGCCCTCGGTGTCACTGGGCCCTGGCAGGGGGAGCAGACCTGCTGTTGGGTCTTCAGGGCCAGTGCCCTGGCTGTGCTCTGGAGGGCCCTGGGCCTCTCTGCCTTCGAGGTATGGTGCGTCTCCAGGCTGGAGGTGTCCACGCAGAGTGCCAGGAGTGGGCTCACGGGTTGAGGGGTAGTCTTCTGCCTCCAGAGCTCGCCGAGAGTGTCCACTCGGGTCCATGGCCTCTTCCTGTGGCTCTTCCTCTTCTCCCTCCTCATCTAGCGGCTTGATGGCTCTGGCCGGAGTCTTCAGGGTGCAGCGTGGTCGGGGAGGCTGGCCCACCTGGCCCCATCTGCTGGCCACATCGCTGTGCCTTTGGCGTGGGCGCTGGTGCTTGCACGCCTTGTGGCCCTGCAGGTTAAAGCAGGGAAGCGGGTTACGCCGGGTCCATAATTGGCAGAACCGTTCCCAGCGACGTAGCTTCCCGGAGAGGTCAGCCACAAGTGCAGAAGTGGGGGTAGGCTTGGGGACGAGGGCAGCTTCAGGGTCACGTTGGGGCCTGGGTTCAGGAACCTGGAGGGCAGTTTCTCTGGGAGCCTCCTCATCACCGGACCTGTGTACCAAGCGGGTGGGGCCGCAGCCACATTTTTTGAAGCAGGTCCCCATCTCAGACCACTACTGTGGGAGCAACTGGCACAAGTGCAGGGCTGAGGGCCTGTGCAGGGGTATTGCAGCAGGTGACAATGAGGGGGGTGGTGCCACAGGATGGGGCCTGATTGCAGCTCTCCAGCCAAGGAAGGGGATTGGTGGGAAGGGACACAACAGAAGGCACCAAAGGGTGAAGCACCAGGCTTGACCCCAGGCCCAGGCTGCCTCTCTAGTGCACGGGGCTGTCTGGCCGCTGGCCGCATGAATCGGCCCACCCCTATGGGTCCTGAGGGGCCGATGTTCCAGGGCTCACTCAGCCTGGGCTTGGGCTCCATAGTCTCCTTTGCTCTGCCCAGAGTCTAACTTGGCCCCCCACTGACCACGTGTGGCTTGAGACCTTGGTCACTGGAGGGCTGCCCTGGCTCTAAGTTGAGCTTAGGTGCACCCTAGCCACACTGCCAGGCCCATTGGAGTGTCCTGCCCTGGACCCACCCTAAGAAGATGGGTGTGCCTACTTGGGTTGAGGTGCCCAAAATGGTGGAGCAGTACTCTTCAGTGTGCGGAGGTTAATTCTTGTTGCCAGTGAAAATGTAAAGCGACTTTAGAGCAAACACAATCCTAATTAAATTGCCATGGCACGAAGGGTCTATCAGGTATTTAAGGAAAAGGCCCAAATTTCCCAATTAGCTGTGAACTACATGAACAAGGAGCTGTCTGAGAGCAAAATAACTTACATACTGATTAGAGGGAAGGTCTGCCAAGAGGAGTGGTGTCTGACAACCAAAAACAGATCTGAGGACTACTAGGTTAGGCAAGATTTTGCCATGTTTGGATTGGTAGTTCTAGGAATCATGGCCGAGGGCCCCTGTGAAGCTTGAAATATTTTAACTTTCATCCTATTTGAAAGGTCCATAGAGACAGTGATCATCCATCCACTGGTTCACTTCCCAAACACCCACAATAGCAAGGGCTGGCTCAAACCAAAGACTGGAGCCCGGAACTCCACCCACGCCTCCCACGTGAATGGCAGAGACCTGAGTACTTAGGTTACCATCTGCTGCCTCTTGGGATTTGCATGAGCACCAAGCTAGCAAAGAAAGCACAGCTGGGACTCACACCTAGGTGGCCCGATGCGGTCTGAAGTGGCCCCAAAGCCACCACTGTGCCAAACACTCACCCCTCTGGGATTTCAATGCGTGCAGGCAACTGCACTGTCAATGCCTTGAATAAGCATGTTTGGAGCCAAACTTGTACATGGGGAGAACCAAAGGTTTACTCCCAAGTGGATTTCTTTTTCTTCCTTTCTAGAAGTGAAGCCCCAATTCCCCAACTGTACAGAGAAATAAGATAGACGATGCTTCCGAATCTTCTACGTCTATAATGTGATTATAATGGTCTATGATTTTAACAATACAAGAGAGTTAGTAACAAGGAAAATGACTCTCTACTCTGTACTTTTTCATTAAAGATGTGGAAGGGAGCAGGAACTTCAGTGAAGACAGACATAACTGGACATGTTCTAAGGCTGCAGGACATCATGGAAATCAGCAAATATCACAACATGTGGTGTTAATTATTAAGTATGTTACCTGCCCAAGCCTATCCTACCCTACTAAGTTCTTTTTTTTAAATATCAACTATAACTTAAAAAAAATGAAGAAAGTGAGAGGAAAGGACAGGAAAAACAGATTTTGTAAAGTTTTATTTCACTCACTTTTATTTGAAAGACAGAGAGACAGCTGTCTTCCATTCAATGCTCCGACCAACTAATGCCCACCACAGCCAGGGGTGGGCCAGGCTAGCTGTTTCAATCACCTGCCTGATAAAAAGTTTTCTTTTTCTGTGTATAAGTGGCCACGACATGGTTTAAGGGGCAGTTACATAAGAAGGTGTAGGCCTGCGTGAAGACACTGGCCTAAGCTGTGAGACTCCTCAAAGCTGTGGATGCCAGCTAGGCAGATTCTCTTCCCCCATTGGAAGGAATACGATGGTCCACTGATGCAACAAATTGATTAAAATGTGAAGGAGCATCCTTCCAAACATTATCTGGATCTTTCACAGGCATCTCATGCCATTATAATTTTTTATTATTTATTTTTTATTTTTTTATTTTTGACAGGCAGAGTGGACAGTGAGAGAGAGAGACAGAGAGAAAGGTCTTCCTTTGCTGTTGGTTCACCCTCCAATGGCTGCCACGGCCAGCGCGCTGCGGCCGGCGCATCGCGCTGATCCGAAGCCAGGAGCCAGGTGCTTATCCTGGTCTCCCATGCAGGTGCAGGGCCAAAGCACCTGGGCCATCTTCCACTGCACTCCCAGGCCACAGCAGAGAGCTGGCCTGGAAGAGGGGCAACCTGGACAGAATCCGGCACCCCGACCTGGACTAGAACCCGGTGTGCGGGCGCTACAAGGCGGAGGATTAGCCTGTTGAGCTGCGGCGCCGGCTGCCATAACTTTTTGTCAAGACTAATTGTGTCCCTTTATCCAAGACAGATGGCTAGAACAGGTCTGTGTCCATTAACTTTGCTGACTTAATTTTCCTGTTCGCTCCCCTCCTTATCACCTCTGCCGTCAGCTCCTGTGAGACCAAGAACTCATTGTTTCATTCTTGCTTGGGTGAAGGCAGGGTTTGCCATAAGGCTCAAGGCAAACTTTGTTCTGGCTCCATTTAATCTGTTCTTCTCACACAAAGGGAAGTTTCTAAAAATCTACATTAATCTTATGTTTTGTTTTGTCTACCCTGTATGCTTGGGAAAAAATTTTAAAAAATACCCAATCATACTGTACACATCTGCATTCTGCATTTGTCAAACCCTGCAGGTGCATCATCCAGACGTGATTTAACACTCAGCCACACCTGATCATCTGTCTAATGTTTCACAGACAGCAACTGGCTGGTATCATCACTAAGTGTCTAATGAATACATAATGGCTAGTGAATAAAAACTGACTAACAAGCTACATTAGAAGTTGAGGAGAACACATGTTCTCTCCTATCTTAAGACTTCACCTGCATGTGTTCCTTGCAATTCAATGCCGTGAAAATGGAGCAGAACTTCGAACTCCTATGTGACCTAGAAATGAGTGTAAATACTCTTGTATTTGGTATCTTGATGCTTTAGACTACAGCAAGACTAGTTATTAGATACTTGTAAGCAGCATGATGAACCTAAGGGAAATTAAATTTTCAATAATTACAGAGTAGGAATGGCTCACGACCTCTTAGTTCCTCTAGATGCCAGGAACTGGATGCCACACCCATCCTATCTGGATACAAGGAGCAGGATGTCACACACATTTCACTGAGAGCAACAGGAAAGGAATACAATTTAAAAAAATACACAAAACTACATGTAAACGTTTTTTAAAACCATTAAAACCATAAAGCATGGTCTCAATACAGGACAGAGAGAACCTAGCCTTCAGTGGTGCCACGGTGCTGGGAGAGAAGCGCAGAGGGAAGAGGCGAGCAGGAGCGGAGGGGGGCCCCTGGTCATTCCCCCTCTGGGACTCACTTCCGCCTGGCTTCTCCTTCAGTCAGCCTGTGCAACCATAACAGAAAGCTACTTGCTCATGCTATTCTCACTGTAAACTGGCACGGCCTGGCCTGACGCATCACCACTGCCCATGCGAACTCTTAATCCACGGTGAGTCACAAAGCAAAGAAAGAGGAGCAGAGGCAGAACAAGAGCACAGTTTTAATGATAACAGGGCTGAGAAAGTCCAAGGAACAGGGAGTGCTGGTGGGCAGCAGGGCGAGTCCTCCAGGCTCTAACAGTGAAGACGCTGTGCAGAGTTGGGTCCTCAGGTGACCACATGAAGTCAGGGAGGGTGCGGCCGGTGATCTACGCGGAGATCCCGTACAGTCCACACAGGGGGCCTTCATATCCAGCGGGTTCTCACAAGATCAATCTGCCACACGTCCTTCGGCATACACAGATATGCATAGCACACACACACCCACTCCGACGTATACACACAGACATTGAGATTCGGCCTCACGCTTCTGTAGGAAGAGAGCAGGGTAAGTTTTATAGGGACTGAAAGGAGGAAGGAAGGCTTTGGTGGCTGCTACTATGATGCCAAGGGTGAGAGAGCAGAGGACTCCAGTGGCTGCTTCCTGTGCCCACAGCACCAGCACAGCTGCTCCCATACCCAGGTGCATCATCAACAATGCTGGCTCCTCCACAGTCAAAAAGGGCACACCACCTGAGCTGCAGGGACCCTGATGTTCTTGCTGAAGGGGGAGCTAGTATTTTTCTGTGGGTTTTTCTTGTCTTTCTTTTCTTTTTTAATTTGAGAGGCCCTGCCCCTGAGGCTAGCTGGAATCAAAGGTCCCTGACCAAAAGCAGGAGAAGGAATGGCGGCAGGTGTCCCTGTGCCTAAGTTGAAACTTTGGAATCAGAGATGGGGCCTGGAGGGGACACACAAAACCCAATGCTCCTGACAGTCAGAGGGGGTGCTGGTCCCACAGACACTCTACGGGCTCCAGAGCAGGCTGGCAAACAATGAGGTACAGTGCCTAGTGCCAACTAAGCACTACACAATGACTTGGCAATGATTATAAAGCTAGCAGTCAACTGGGAAGCCAGTCTGGCTTCCTTCAGGGTAACATGACGGCTGTGTCAAACATACATACCTGACAGCCTAAGCCTGGGACTTGGTGGGAGAGGAAGTTAGGCCAATGGCTTGTGTTGGAGCATTGGCCTCCACAAAACCAAAGTGCTCTCACAATGGTGCGCATCAGGTACCCAACTTGTGGGAAGAGTGGGAGCTCCTGGATTCAAGGGGTAATTGGGACTGCAGTTGGTCCCTAGACTGACTGTGCCAGCAAACTGGCAAAGACTGCGTTGAGCAACACTGACACTGCGTGGTGTGTGCCCAGCACCAGGAAGCACCATGGACAATGGGAGGCAGCTCCCCACAGAGGCAGCCAGAGAATGGCAGATGACCACCTTGGAAGGAGGGTGGTGTCCATAGCTTCAGTGTGGTCCACGGCAGCTTGAGCAGCACGGTGGCAGAGGAACTGCCTGTTGGGGTGGAGGTGACTCTGCAGGAGACATTACGGGATGGCCTATAAGTGAAGACACATGAATGAGAGAGTCTTTTTGTTCCTGCCCATCGGGGGCCCTAAAGGTGGACAGGACGACAGTTTCTGAGCTAAAGAGGTGGCTAAAAATTGGGGTGGGAACCCTTAGGGTAAATGGGCTGGTGGGGCCTCGTGCCTTTACAGATGTCACCAATCCACACTGCCATGACCATAGGGAGAAGAGACAGTGCACCTACTGGAATTTTGAAGAGAGCTGAAGACAATAGCATTAGAAGGAGGGGGGAGGTGGTGCCCATGTCACTGCTCTGAGGGTCTAGACTGGGCTGAAGGGTCAAGTGTGCAGGTGCACTTGCTGTGATGGCAGAAATGCCTGGTGTAGAAGTGTTGGGCTCTGTGCTGACAGCGTGGGTCCACAGCAATGTTCATACAGCTCTGTCCATGTCGCAGGGGTAGGCAAGAAAGACGAGGAGGGTAACACACATACACGGGTGTCAGGGATTCTCCTCTGTAGGAAGAGGGCTTCAGAGAGGAGGGGGTGAGTCTTGGGATTTGGGGGAGATCAGAAAGGGAGGTGAGGGAACCAGGGATGAAGACGGAACCTACCCAATGGCCTGGAGCTAAGCGGAGGAAGAGGGTTGGCAGTGACAATCAAGGTTGAGGAACTGTGTGTGCTTACCTTACCAAGGCAGAAGGACAGAAAGGCTTCGGAGCAGGGCAGGCACTGCCAGCGAGCCAGTGGTGGGAGCAGCAGCTGGGACCTGCCAAGTGTAAGTGGGCAAGCACAGGGAGTCTACAATCTCTGTCACTGAGTGATGAGACACAAAGAGCCAGTAGAGAGGCAGTGCAGCCTACCCTGGTGTCTGTCCACCCCCCAGGACCTCCACGTTAGCCTGGGGGTTCTCAGGCTGCTCAGTGCCTCCTCCCTCAGTAGGAATGCAAGGCAATTTAGGAGGTGGGTGCAACTCACTTGGGTGTCACAGGAGCCTGCTTCGGATAGGAGACAGCAGTGGTAGCAGTCCCAGCAAGGTGAGGCCTGCAGTGGCAAGGCTTCAGGTTCCCCACCCCATCTCTCTCTGTCTCTCTCTCCGCCTCTACCTTTTGTAACTTCGCTTTTCAAATAATTAAATAAATCATAAAAAAGATAAAATAATTTAAGACGTAAATGAGAAAAACAGAAGATAAATTTCATGGAAGTATGTCATTACAAAAATTAAAGAAAAATGAAAAATATATGAATAAAATATAAATGAAATACATGCGATGGGTTTTCCGTAAATAAACAAACTTTAAACTATAAAACTAATAAAATAAAAACATTTGAAATACAAATTTGAAACAAATTAAATGAAATTTAAAGTTAAAGATAAAATATGATTAAAATTAAAAACAACAATACTTTTAACAAACTAAAAATTAAAATTAAATAAAAACTAAATCTGAAATTAAATATTAAGAATAAAATAAAAACTAAAAGTTATGAATTACAATTGAAATTAATAAAATTAAATTAAATACATGAGATGCCTTTTCTTCAAAGGAACATAATTTTAAAAAATCAATAAAATAAAAATTTAAAAATAAAATTTGAAACAAATGAAATGAAATCTTAAAATTAAAAAAGTTAAAATATGATTAAAATTAAAAATAACTTAAAATTTTAACAAAATAAAAACTAAGAATTAAATTAAATTTAAAATAAAATAAAAACTAAAAGTTATGAATTACAATTGAAATTAATAAAATTAAATTAAATACATGAGATGCCTTTTCTTCAAAGGAACATAATTTTAAAAAGTAAATCAATAAAATAAAAAATTTAAAAATAAAATTTGAAACAAATGAAATGAAATCTTAAAATTAAAATAGTTAAAATATGATTAAAATTAAAAACCATAACTTAAAAATTTTAACAAAATAAAAACTAAGAATTAAATTTAAAATAAAATAAAAACTAAAAATTAAAATTTAAAACTAAAATAAAAACTAAAAGTAATTAATTACAAAGGAAACTCATAAAATTCAATAAAAATGAAAAATAAAATAAAGACCTTCAAAGAAAACTGAGAAACTGAATATTAACAGATAAATTTCTTGAAAGACTGTCCAAAGTGAGTCCATTGTGAACTGTAAAGTGGGGTAGTTCTGCCCAAGGTAGACAGCATCATGAAGAACATTTCAAGCACAGCGGTGTAGGGTTCTGTTCCGGGAATCCAGACTGAGACTGTTCCAAGTGTCCTAAAGGAGAGAGGTATCGGACGAGAGAGATCTGAAGTTGAAATGAGGAGACAATTCCACCCGAAGTGGCCTCCAATAGACTCAGCAACCAATCACTGTAGGGACGGCGACCTCGACTCAGCAACCAATCACTGTAGGGACGACGACCTCGACTCAGCAACCAATCACTGTAGGGACGGCGACCTCGACTCAGCAACCAATCACTGTAGGGACGACGACCTCGACTCAGCAACCAATCACTGTAGGGACGACGACCTCGACTCAGCAACCAATCACTGTAGGGACGGCGACCTCGACTCAGCAACCAATCACTGTAGGGACGGCGACCTCCACATGCAACACGACAATCTGCTCATTGCGACCACGACAGTGTGCAGCAATGCATGACTCTATGCTGCAATGCAACACGACAATCTGCTCATTGCGACCACGACAGTGTGCAGCAATGCATGACTCTATGCTGTGAGGCCATGATCTGCATCAATGCACCAACCACAATATGCAGCGACGCGACCACCGCAATGGGCAGCATTGCGGCCAGCACAATTTGCGATGATTCAAATACTTTAGTCTGCGGCGATGTGATCTCCTCCAACTGAGGGACATGAACATCACACACTGGAGCCATCGACCTCTCTGGTCTGAGGAACGTGACCATCGTCTGTACTGACTGGGACACTCTTGGTCTGGAATGAGTGCGCCCTCCGGGTCGGAGGGATTGCGATCTCTTTGGTCTGTGACCACCTCTGTCCATGGTGAAGGTGACCTCAATGTCTGCAGCCACAGTAACCTCCATGGTCACGGGCGCCCATGACCTCTGTGGTCCAGAGAGTCTACAAGCTCCACGACTCTGCCATGTGTGTGCCCGGTCACATGACGAGAGCTTCCCAAATAATCATTCGGCCCTTTGATTCCTTTTTCTCTTTCTTTCCAGGCTTGAATGATGCATTAACCTTGCCAGGTTGTTACGAAGGCTTCGCCTGTGCAGGAGAAGACGTACATCTGCCATCTCTTGGGAGAGTGGATCCCCCAGATCCGCACGCTGGTGCTCAGGGCGCTGGCTTCTGGAAGAGGGCGAGCTCTTGATCCAGGCTCTTCACAGCCACTGGTGCACCTGTGCCCAGGGCAGTGCTGGGCCTGCTCGCTTTTTTTTTTTTTTTTTTAATTTAAGAAAACAGACACAAGAAGTTTATTCGCTGGAAGGACAGCTACCCTGCCTGAGAGGAATGGCTGCGTGGCCCCAGGTGCCCTCTCAGCCCAGCCAAGGCTCCCAGAACTGCCCCGCTCCCTCGTGAGCCCCTGCAGCCAGAGGCCTGGGCTCTGCTTACACAATGTATTGGGCGATGGCCAGCACCTTGGAGTACTCGCCCTCCCTCTGGCGTAGGCTGGTGGGAATGGGTGTTTTAATTCGGGTCCCCATGGGGTTCCCATTATCCTCAATGAGTACCACATTGTTGGAGTCGAACTTGGGGCTCATCTGGGGGCCAGGCATGCGATGCCTCACGATGAGCACCTTCGTCTTCTGTCCCTTGATGGCTCCATGTCCCATGGAGCGGCAGAGATGTAGGTGTCCTGCCTCACGCCCGGGACTGCTCCCGAAGGCAGAGTGGCCTCCTGGGCCTACAGGGCCCTGGCTGGATTGTCCCCTGGTGAGGGGGATTGAGGCAGGCCTCGAAATTCTCCCCTGCCTCCACGTGGGAGGGGGCGATCGACCCAATGTGGGCTCTGCATATTCCTCGGGGAGGCCACACCCAGAGGAGCCCTGTGCTTCCTGACTCTGGGTGCAAGCACAGTCAGGGCTTCAGGCTTCCCTCTTGAGGCCCAGAGGGGCCTGTTAGGGCAGGGAGCCATGGAGGGAGGTCATCCTCTGCTTCCAGGGGCCTGCCTGCTTTGTCTCCTGGGCAAGGAGAGCTCATCTTCTCCTTTTTACCGCCTTCTCCCTTCTCTTCCAGGTGTTCTTTGGCCTGCCCCACGATGTCACAGGGGCAGGGAAGAGGAGGCCCCTTGGTGGAGGTTGCGTCTGCTCCCAGGACAGGGCAGGTCCAGGCCTCCTCACTCTGGGTGGTAACGTGGTGGCTGCACAGCTGGTTCATTCCTGGGGGCCTTCCCGAGATGGTGGCTGGGGAAGGCATGGAGGCAACGAGGTCGGGAGAGCACCAGGGAGGTCTTCTGGCCCCCACAGCACCTGGCCTAGTTGTTGCTGTCCTGTCTCTCTTTCTTTTACAGTCTCCCCGGAGCCAGCATGGGGGGAGGGGAGACTCTGTGAGGATTGTGGCCCTTCAAAACCCCGAAGGGTTGCTGTCCCGGGGATGCCTGCTGTGGAGGGAAACTGCTCCTGGGCCTCCAGGGAGCCGAGCTGTTCGTCATTGAGGCGAAAGATGCTGATGATGTCCACCTCAGCATCTTTCGCCTCCTGGTCTTCCTCATCGTCCCCATCTTCGGTAGTATCACTATCACTGGGCCCCAGGCTAGAGAAGAGACTCCAGACCTGGGAGGTGCTGGAGCTGTTTTCCACCTCGTCAGGCAGGTTGTTCACCCAATGGCTCTTGTGGAGCTGGTCTACGCCCATGATACCAAAAGGGCCATCATCCAGGTCAGCCATGGCCTCCTCTCTCCTGAATTCTCCCCAAGCACAGGAGAGGTCTTCACTAACAGAGGTGACCCCACTCTCCAACACCGACCACTCAGAGTCCGAGGAGCTGACAGCATCCTCCTGAAAAGGAAGGAGGCTGATGATGTTAAACTCCTCCTCCCCACAGTTGTTTTCTGGCCTCCTCCCAAAGGCAGGGCCCTCGGTGTCACTGGGCCCTGGCAGGGGGAGCAGACCTGCTATTGGGTCTTCAGGGCCAGTGCCCTGGCCATGCTCTTGAGGGTCTCCAGGCTGCAGGTGTCCCCCCAGAGTGCCAGGAGTGGGCTCACGGTTTGAGGGGTCATCCTCTGCCTCCAGGCTCCTGGCTGCCTCTATGTCTTGCCAATAGGGTTCACTTGGGTCCATGGCCTCTTCTTGTGGCTCCTCCTCTTCTCCCTCCTTATCCTGTGTCTCAATGGCTCTGGCCGGAGTCTTCGGGGTGCAGGGTGGTGGTGGGGGAGGCTGGTTACAGCAGGAAAGCAGGCATAGCCGGGTACAAAATTGGAGGAGCCGTCCCCGGCGACGGGGCTTCTCCAACAGGTTGGGAATGAGGGCAGACGCGGGGGCAGGCTCGGGGACCAGGGCAGGTTCAGGGTCAGGTTGGGGCCTGGGTTCAGGAACCTGGGGGACAGTTTCTGTAGAAGCCTCCACATCCCCGGACACGGGTAGCACTTGGTTGCGGCCGTGGCCGCATTTTCCCAAGCAGTTCCCCATGTGCTCTACCGTGAGGCAACCGGCCCAAGTGCAGGGCTGAGGGCCTGTGCAGGGGTGTCATAGCAGGTGACATAGCAGGTGACAATGAGGGGTGTGGCACCAGGGGGTGGGGCCTGATTGCAGCTCTCCAGGCAAGGGCGGGGGGTTGGTGGGAAGGGACACAACAGAAGGCACCAAAGGGCCCGACCCCAGGCCCAGGCTGCCTCTAGTGCACGGGGTTGTCTGGCCACTGGCCGCACAAATAGGCTCACCTAAGGGGCGGATGTTAACAGATTCACTCAGCCTGGGCTTGGGCTCAGGGACAGAGGTGGGGGCAGGCTTGGGGATGAGAGCAGGTTCAGGTTCAGCCTGGGGCCTGGGTTCAGGAACCTGGGGTCCATCTCTCTGGGAGCCGCTGTATCCCAGGCAGCAGGTGCCTTGAGGTTACGGTCATGGCTGCGTTTCTTAAGCAATTTCCCATTTTCAAGAAAGTGTGCGCTGGCATGCTGTACAGAGGAGGAAATACTCTCCTGTCTCTCTCCCTCTCACAGACTCCACGGGGCTCTGCGATCACAGCCCTTCAAAACCCTGAAGGGTCGCTACCCTGAGGAATGTCCTCAGAGGTCTCCTCCCAGTTAGTGTCCGAGTGACACGGGCATGGGATTCTCTTCCCAGAATCAGAACTGCCTGCTGTGGGGGGAAACTGTTCCTGGGCCTTCCAGGGAGCCAAGATGTTCATCATCGAGGTGAAAGGTGCAGATGACGTCCACCTCAGCTTCTTTCGCCTCCTGGTCTTCCTCGTGGTCCTGTTCTGTGGAACTCTCGCTGTCACTGGGTCCAAGGCTAGTCACGAGGCTCCAGTCCTGTGAATGGCCAGGGATGTTCTTCACCTCCTCAGGCAGGGTGTCTACCCAGTGGCATTCATGGAGCTGGTGTATGGCCACGTTACCAGAAGGGCTGTCAGCAGCCAGGGCCTCCTCTTTCCTGTGTTCTTCCCAAATACAGGGAAGCTCTTCAGTTTCTGAGCTGACCCCACTCTGAATGACTGACCACTCAGAGTCTCCTCCTCCCTACAGGAGCTGTTTTCTGGCCTCCTCCCAAAGGCAGGGCCCTCGGTGTCACTGGGCCCTAGCAGGGGGAGCAGACCTGCTGTTGGATCTTCAGGGCCAGTGCCCTGGCCGTGCTGTGGAGGGCCCTGGGCCTCTCCGCCTTCGAGTTATGGTGCATCTCCAGGCTGGAGGTGTCCACGCAGAGTGCCAGGAGTGGGCTCACAGGTTGAGGGGTCGTCTTCTGCCTCTGGTGTCCTGGTTGCATCCACTTCTTGCCGAGAGTGTCCACTCGGATCCACGGCCTCATCATGTGGCTCCTGCTCTTCTCCCTGCTCATCTAGTGGCTTGATGGTTCTGGCCGGAATTCAGGGTACCAGGGGGTGGGGGAGGCTGGCCCACCACGCCCTGTCTACAGAGCATAATGCTGTGCCTTTTGCGTGGGCGCTGGTGCTTGTGCACCTTGCAGCCCTGCAGCTTAATGCACGGAAGCAGGCACAGCCATGTCAATACCTCGCGGAACCGTCCCGACGACTGGGCTTCTCGAAGAGTTCGGGCATGAGGGCAGGCGCGGGGGCAGGCTCGGGGACGAGAGCAGCTTCAGGGTCACGTTGGGGCCTGGGTTCAGGAACCTGGGGGGCAGTTTCTCCAGGAACCTCCTCATCACCGGACATGTGTACCAAGTGGGTGGGGCCGCAGCCACATTTTTTGGAGCAGTTCCCCATCTCAGACCACTACTGTGGGAATAACTGGCACAAGTGCAGGGCTGAGGGCCTGTGCAGGGGTGTCACCACCCTGCACCCAGAAGGGATCTCAAAAGATGCTGATGACGTCCACCTCAGCTTCTTTCGCCTCCTGGTCTTCCTCGTGGTCCTGTTCTGTGGAACTCTCGCTGTCACTGGGTCCGAGGCTAGTCACGAGGCTCCAGTCCTGTGAATGGCCAGGGATGTTCTTCACCTCCTCAGGCAGGGTGTCTACCCAGTGGCATTCATGGAGCTGGTGTATGGCCACGTTACCAGAAGGGCTGTCAGCCAGGGCCTCCTCATTCCTGTGTTCTTCCCAAATAAGGGAAGCTCTTCAGTTTCTGAGCTGACTACACTGAGAAGGACTGAAAACTCACAATCCAAGGAGCTGACAGCCTCCTCCGGAAAAGGAAGGAAGCTGACCATCTTAATCTCCTCCTCCCTACAGGAGCCATGCTTTTTTGCATGGGGCTATCTTGCTGTTGTCTTCCCTAACAGCTCTCCTCTGGGAGGCCTGAGGTGTGATGTACCAGGACTCGTTCCACCTGGACTTGGGCTCTCCCGGCTGTTTCCCCCTAACCCAGTGTTTAGCTTGGCCCACTGACCCTGGGTGGATTTGATTCCTCGATTGCTGGAGGCTTGTGTCAGGTCAAAGTTGAACCAAGGTGCAGCCTAGCCGCTGCTCGGATGCTTGTAGTGTCCTGTACAAAGGTGTTGGTGTTCCTTTCTGTAGGAGTGTTGTTCTCCACCTCAGTAAGGGCATGCAACTAGAGACACTGCTGTATTTCTCTCCTCAGAAGAGAGAGATGAGCTAGGGCCTCTCATTCTGGTGGGCCTGCTCATTCAGGAAAACTCTTCCTCGGTTTCTGAGGGGCACGTAGATTCCACTTCAAGGTGAAAAAGACTGATGATGTCCATGTCCTCTTTCAACTCCTCGTTTTCTGGCCTTCCTTCTTGCTGTTCAAAGGCAGAACGCTTGGTGACACTGGGTCCTGGCAGGGAGAACAGACCTGATGCTGCGGCATCAGGGCCATTGCCCTGTCTACTTTCACTGTACATCAGGAGCCCAGGCTGGAGGCATCCCCTGGAGTCTCAGGAGTGCTCCCCTGGGTAGAGAGGTTCCCTTCTGTCTCCACAATCCTGGCTGGCTCTACAACTGGACAAGAGTCCACTGGGAGCCACTGCCTCCGGCTGCTGCTTCTCCTTGTCTGATCCTCTTGCACAGACTGATTTCCCCGGAGAGAGTCTTGGGCGTACAGAGAGGTGTGGGAGGCTGCCTGCCAGGCGCCGTCTGTTGGGACACCAGTGTGCCTGTTTCTTTGCTACCAGCAATTGCACGAGTTGTGTACCTGCTTCTTGGAACAGCACAGCACGCACAGCAGAATCAAGAACTGGTGAAAGTGACCCTGGGTATGAGGCTTCTGGGAGGGGTCATGCATGGGGACAGAGCCGGGGCAAGCTTGGGGATGAGAGTAGATTGAGGTTCAGGTTGGGGCCTGGGATAAGGAGCCTGGGGGCCAGTGTCTCTGGGAGCCACCGCATTCTGGGAAGAAGGTGCCATGAATTTGTAGCCATGGCTGCATTTTCTTAAGCAATTTCACATTTTCAAAGAAGTATGCACTGGTATGCTACATACTGAAGGAAATACTCGCTTTGATGTCTTTTGCATACCAGCATTTTGCGTAGAACCTGGGCTGAGGGCCTCTGAAGAGGTGTCAGAGCAGGTGACAATAAGGGGTGCTGCTACAAAGGCAGGGCCTGATTGTAGCACTCCAGGCTGGGGGAGGCAGTTTGGGGGTTGGGATGAGGTTCGCAACAGAAGGTGCCAAGATCTGAAGCACCAGGCCTGACCCCAGGCTCAGCCTGACTTTTTATTTTTTTTTTTTTTTTGACAGGCAGAGTGGACAGTGAGAGAGAGAGAGACAGAGAGAAAGGTCTTCCTTTGCCGTTGGTTCACCCTCCAATGGCCACTGCAGCCGGTGCACTGCACTGACCTGATGGCAGGAGCCAAGTACTTATCCTGGTCTCCCATGGGGTGCAGGGCCCAAGCACTTGGGCCATCCTCCACTGCACTTCCCTGGCCACAGCAGAGAGCTGGCCTGGAAGAGGGGCAACCAGGACAGAATCCAGCGCCCTGACCGGGACTAGAACCCGGTGTGCCAGTGCTGCAAGGCGGAGGATTAGCCTCGTGAGCCACGGCGCCGGCCTCAGCCTGACTTTTAAGTGCATGGGGCCATCCTGCCACTGGTTGCACTAAGTGGCCACCCCTTGGGGACTTGAGGGACTGAGTGCAGGGCTCTTCAGCCTAGGCTTGGGCTCCATGGGCTCCTCTCTGCATCACTGGCCATGGGTGTTACGAGGTTGCGGCCTGTGCCTACCTGGGTTGGAGTGCTCAATGTAGGGGGGCAGTATACTTCAGTGTGTGGAGGATAATTCTTGTTGCTGATAAAATGTAAAGACACCTTAGAATAAACACAATCCTAATTTTAAATTGTCTTGGCACAAAGGGGCTATCAGGTATTTAAGGAAAAGGCCCTAATTTCCCAATTAGCTGTGAACTACTTGAGCAAGGAGCTGTCTGATAGCAAAAGAACTTATACACTGACCAAATGGAAGCTTTGGCAAAAGGAGCTGTGCCTGACATCCAAAAACAGATATGAGGATTGCTAGGTAAGGCAGGATTTTGCCATATTTGAATCACCAGTCTAGGACTCATGGTGGAGGGACTCTATGAAGCTTCAAATATTTTAATTTTATTTTTATTTGAAAGCCACATAGAGAAAGAGATCATCCATCCACTGGTTCACTTCCCAAACACAAGGGATACCCAAAGTAAAAAAAAAAAAAAAAAAAAAAAAAAAAAAAAAAAAAAAAAGCAATATTCATGGAAAAACATCAAGGCAAAGTTGCTACTTATCAATAGTCACCTACAATATAAATAGGCCCAAGTCTCCAGTACAAAGACATATACTGGCTGAATGGATTACAAAATGAAATCCATCTATTTGCTACCTACAAGAAGCATATCTCACCAAGAAAGATACAGACTGAAAGCAAAGGGGTACTTTCAGAAACCGAACCAAACCAAACAAAAAAGAGCTGATATAGCCATTCCGATATTTGACAAAGCAGACTTTAACATAAAAACAGTTTAAAGAGACAAAAAGTACACTTTGTAAGAATCAGGGATTGTCTCAACAGGCAGAAATGACTAATATAAACATATATGCACATAATCACAGGGCACTTGGATATCTATAAGAAATGTTAGTGGATCTAAAGGGAGACATACAGTAGTAATGGAGGGACTTCAGTACCCCACTTTCATATATGGACAGATCAACCAGACAGAAAACCAGCAAGAAAACAACAGAGATAACCGACACTATAGACCAAGTGGATGTAACAATAGTTAAAAATAACATACTGTACTTGTCTAAATACCTAGAACGCTTTCTGAATGTATACATTACAAAGACCCTTGAATATATGAAGCAAAGGACATTAATTGTCCTAATATGATCATTATTATGTATGCATGTATCCAAATATTACATTGTACCTCATAAATATATACAATTACTCTTTGTCAATAAAAATAAATTAAAAAATTTAACAATTAAAATGCAAGTCAGCACTACCGCTGAAGCAGGAAATTCATTCCACCACATGAACATAAACCTCTATAAGGTCTTCAATCAAAAATCACCCCCTAAGATGGACCTTTTCTGGTTGTTCAGTTTAAAACTGCAGCACCACCTCCAGTGGCTGAATCCAAAATCCTTCAAAGGCCACTTAGATCCGAAGAACAAGGGCTCTGTTTCTTTCTGCTTTTCCCATTTCCCACCAGTGCTCCTGATCACTGAATATTGTTTCTGCTCTCTTGCTCACAGCCTCCCCTCTGGTAACTTCTGGGAACTTCAGTTTCCCAATGTGCACACTGCTCTCTCCTGCAGCTCTATCACATTTCCTCCTCTTCCCACCTGCCCCACAAGGTCTTCCATGGTCACTTTCTTATTTTATTTATGTATATAAGTATGCATGTATGTATGTATGTCTAAGGTAGAGTTACAGACAGACGGAGAGAAACAAAGTTTTCCATCTACACTTTTCCTCCCCAGATACCCACAATGGCAGGAGCTAAGCTGATCCAATGCCAAGAACCAGGAGCTTCTTCCCAGTCTCCAAGGCAGATGCAGGGGATCAAGGACTGCGGCCATCCTCTGCTGCTTTCCCAGGCCATAGCAAGAGCTGGATCCAAAGAACAGGGACATGAACTGCAGGCAGAGGCTGAGCTTATTGTGCAACAGCACTGAGCAGTCTGTTTCTAACGGTGACCTCCCTCACCCACCCAGCACCTCAACTCCAGTCCCTTCTGTCTAGTTCTCTCTTAGCACCTCCCTGAAGTGCTAGTTAATTTAACCACAGATTTTTCACTCTGAGGTTTATACATAAGTTTATATGTTGGTTATTCATTTATTTTTGTTTATCCCTCCTAGCAGATGGGGACATTTACCTGTTTTGTCACTGATCTATTATCTAAATATAGCCTGTAAAGCATACAGAATAGTACCTGACATTTGGTAAGGGTTGAGAAGTTTTACTAATTGAATAAATGTGTACAAAAACCCATAAATCCTCAGGTTACAGATTTAATGAAAGATGCAAAGGGGGAGGAGGAATGCTTTGAACAGGGTTCTATGAGAAGCAGTATTTGGAGTATTCTGACATCTAATACATATGAATTTGTTCATTTAAGTATATTTAAGCAAGCAGTTTGGGACTGGATAAGGGAGATATATCACAACAAATTTATTGTACATTTTTTAGAGTTCCATTTAACTATATAGGAATATTGAATAAATACATGTATATGTATTTCTATTAATGTATTACATGCTTTACAAAAGCCCTTCAGATAGATAATGCAAGTATCAGTATCCTTACTTGACAATGACTTCATTTAATCCAAGTTACATCATCATTTAGAGATGTGATCTGACTCAAAGCTTTCAAGCAATTCTCCCTAGAAACCCATGACTTATTAGATACTGATAACCTATAAAGACTCATTCAGCTTCCTATAAGCAACACACTAGAGACCCAATTCTGTGCTATCCAATTTAATGAAGGGAAGTAAAGGTTTAGCCATACAATGTAAAGGTGATATTAAGTCACTCTCTTTTTATATTAGTGATGGAAAAGTAGATGTCTCTGTCAATAAGATAGCTGAAACCATCATAATGGCATGAAGGCCATAGAGGTGTTCAGCCAATCTGCCTCTCTGTCACTCAGAAGAATTCCCATAATACGGAATTATACTTACTGAACCAGAAAACGTACACTTAGGTAATTAGGAGTTCTTCAGGAGAGTTAAGGCTTCATTCTCAGAGCAGTACTAAACTTTTAGTGAAAATGAGTCATGTCTGTCCTTTCCTAAACAAGAGGTCATTGAAGTCAGTGACCACGTTTTGCTCATTGTTTGGTGTGGCCTTAGCATCTTAGGTGATATGCATGGATGAGTTGTAAAAATGAGATTAGAATGAATTATAATTGGTTATCTTTAAAACATTTACTATGACCTTACAGACACAACAGAAAGAAAACTGACTGCTGCTGCCTACTGTCCACTACTACCTAGTGGTAGCTGTACGTGACAACAGTTACCGTGTTCTTCTCATTGTCTTATATATCACCCCTCGTTCTTTTTTTTCCATCTCGATCCTTAGATGTATTCTGAGACAAGAAAGGATGAGAGTAGGGCTGGACCACAGAGCTAGCTGGATAATACGGTAAAGTAGTTGTGTGTGCTAAGTGAGAAAAAAATTAAGCTTACAAGTGTACATCCTCTCTTTCAAGTGTGTGTGGGTCTCTACTTCCAGAGAATTGTATAACCAGCTGATAAAGTATAGTTTTTGTAAAAAGCTTTTGATTAGCTCTTATAGCACTAAGAGTAAACTTGGTTAAAGGAGTTGTTGATGGGTTTTACGTTTGAAATGGAGTTTTATTTTATCGTTGGGGGGGCAGCAAGATGGGCGTGCTCCTTCCCTGCTCAACAGGCGTCTGTCTTGTTAAGAGGGCTCTGTGGAGGGAGCAGGAAGAAGGGTGGGAGTGAGGTCAACAGAGGGGTACGATGCAAAATCACTGTGTTCTCAATTTGTATATATGAAATGCATGGAGATTGTATTCCTTATGTAAATGATTTCTATGCTAATAAAATACAGAGTTAACAGAGCCAAAAACCAAAAAGCAAAAAGGGCTCCTTGGGATATTTACAGGTCCTATTCTTTGACTTTTTCTTCCTTTGTTGTAGACAAGAGACATATTTTGAAATTTTCGGTTAAATTAACCGCACAGCCTTAACTTGCCGATTCCCTTATTTTCCCTTAATGTCCGTTTCTTCTCTTTCTGCCATCCTGTGTATTACTAATTGGTAAAAATGCCCAACATTGCATTCAGCTTTGACGTCACCTGGCTGATGAAATAATGTTCTAGTATTCACTGTACGGCCAACAATATACCTGAATGTTTGGTACACTTAGCGGTATCATTGAGAAATAAAAATATTGGAGAATAACATAAATAAGGACAGTGTGTAGCTACTGCCAAGGAGGATAGTTTTCTGCTTTAGGCTTAATGGGCGGTGGGATAGTTTGGCCCTAACACTTTACAAAATAGTAGGTCAACAGCCTTATGCTGGAAACTGCTAAAGACCAAGGGAAAGACTTCCTACTTGCCATATTGATTAATGTTTTTCTATAGGTATTTAACACACATGTGATGGCTTCAAACAATGGAAATTTGCTCTCTTACCTGTCTGGAGAAAGGAAGTCTGAAATCCCAATGTCAACAGCATCACATCCCCTATGGAGGCTCTGGGTGGAAATCTGTTTCTTTAATTCTTTTCACTTTCATTGTTTGCAGCTCCTTTGTCTTATGGTCTCGTTACTTGACTCTCTGTCTTCAAATGGCCTCCTCTTCTGGGTGTCCATATCTTCTTTACATTTCTAATTAAAGAATAATAGGCATGTTAGGTCTTTACCACCAGATAATACAAGATGAAATCCTCATCTCAAGATCCTTAAAATATTTACATGTACTAACACATTTTTATCTTGAAAAAAAGGTTATGGTAAATATGTTGCTCTGTAACAGGAAGAAAATTAATGTATCAACTTCCCAAATGATTCATGCATTGATTTATTGTAAAAGCCAATACTGAACACTTAAGCTATGTTGAATCCTAGGTTTGTATTACTTACATGGAGACAAACTGGACACATCTTTGCCTTAAATGTCTCACTAGATTATTCATTTTAGCATGTAAGTGTTTGGAGTTCAAGGTGCACTGGGGATACCTGAGATTTTTAGTGTTAAGAAATACAACAGTAATATCGGCTCAACAACCCAGTAATTTATATAATTTATATAATCCAGATCAATATGTCTTGGTAACCAATATGGAATTTACATTCATTTACTTTGGAATAAAACAGTTAAATAAATACCAAAAAATTTTGGGAAGAGAGGTATGGCAATCATGTTTTGATGCCTATACAAGTCCATTCCTTCTGAAGGGGGACTTGGGGAACCACCTTCGCCATTGCCCACTAGTGTTTTGAGCTGTTAAACATTGTATTCCCACTCACAGACCCAAGGATGACCACAAAATACAAATTTGAATAATTAATTAAGTCACTCTTTGTCTCCCTTTTCCTAGTTTCTATCCTCAAGTGATGGCTTTCCTTTTCTTTGCCTACAAACTCACTCCCATGTTGATCTCAGTCAGTCTTGTGGCTTTAAATACCAGGCTTCTACTGATGTCTCCCAAATGAATACCCACAGCACAAGCCTCTCCCTTGCACTGCACTGCCTACCAGCATGTCCACCTCCCTACTCCTGGCAGCTCTACTTGGTCTCACCCCTAAAACACCCAAACCAATTCCCAATCACCCACTAGACCTGCTGTTTCCCATAGCCTTTTCCAGCTTCTGAGTTATTCAGGCCAGAATATCTGGAGCCATCTCTTTGTTTCTGCCTCTTATCCTAAGTACTACTTAATCTTCTCAGTTCTTCCTTAAAAAAAACTTTCATCACTTCCACTGTGATCACTCTCCCCAAGCCCAAATCACATTCCACATGGATGACTGCAGACACCATCGCATTGGTGGCCTTGATTCTGCTTTAAGTGGCCTTTAGTGTATTTGGTGTATTTACAACAGATCAGCCCTAGCTCCAGAGTCAGTTGCTCTTTACTGGTAGCCCAGCAAGAATAGGAGAGGGGGAAAAGTCATAAGGGAGCCTGCTACATGTCCTACAGACCACAGATGCAAACCTGAGAGAAAAGAAATCTACCAATGCTGAGAAAGCATGGCAAAATCCAAAAATCAAAAATAAGGAAGACAATCTTAGCCCAAATGGAATACTACCACATTTCAACATTAGAATATTAAGATGAAGAGATTGAGGCAATATCAGAAATGTACTTCAAAAAACTAATCATTGCATTACTCAGAAGCAATCAGAATCAAATTCAGGATCTAAAGAATACTATATATGATATAAATGAAAAGTGATCAGAGGAAATTGAGATTTTAATGAGAACCCAAAGTGAAATACTAGAAAAAAAAAGAAGTCAATAGATCAAATAACAAGTACAGTAGAATGTCTTAACAAGAGTAGGTGAAGCAACAGAAAGACTATCTGAGCTAGAAGACAAATCCCTGGATGTTTCACAATCAAACCAAACACAATTAGAAGAAATCAGAAAACTAAAGAACACTGTTGGAGAGCTACAGGATACCATCAAATAATCCAACATACAGGTCTTAGGAGTTCCTGAATGCCTAGAAATAGAGAATGGATTAGAAAGCCTATTAATGAAATAATAACAGAATACTTCTCTCTTTGGAGAAAGAAAGGGACATCCAAATATGAGAAGCACATAGAACACCCAATAGACATGACCAGAAAAGACCCTTCACATGAAACACTGTAGTCAAACTCTCCACTATAAAAAACAAAGAAAATATTCTAAAATGTGCATGAGAGAAACGCCAGATTTTATTCCAAATATTTCCCATCAGACACACAGCAAACTTCTCATCAGAAACCCTACAGGCTAGAAGAGAATGATAAGAAATATTTTGAGTCTTAAGAACAGAAAACTGTGAACCCAGAATACTATACCCTGAAAAGCTCTCATTTATGAAAGGAGGGGAAAGAAAGACCTTCTACAACAAACAGATATTGAAAGAATTCATCATCATTTTGTCCAACCTTACAAAAGATGCTTAAGGATGTGCTACACAGAGAAACACAGAAACATGGTCATCACTGCCAAAGAATGTGAAGGCAGAAAATTCCTCAGTAAAAGTACAAGGGATACCCAAAGTAAAAAACAGCAGCATTCATGGAAAAACAGCAAGGCAAAGTCATTATTCATCAATGGTCACCTTGAATTAAAATGGCCTCAAATCTCAATACAGACTGGCTGAATGGATTAGAAAATGAAAACCATCTATGTCCTGCCTACAAGAAGCGTATCTCATCAAGAAAGATACTTGAAGACTGAAAGTGAAAGGGTGGAAAAAGTTATTCCATGCTAAAAGAAACCAAAAAAGAGCTAGCGTAGCCATTCTGGTATCTGACAAAATAACTTTAACATGAAAACAGTTAAAAGACACAAAGAAGTACAATTTGTAAGAATCAGGGATCATCTCAACAGGAAGAAATGACTAATATAAACATATATGCACCTAATCACAGGGCACCCGGATACCTCAAAGAAATGTTAATGGGTCTAAAGGGAGACATAGACTCAAATATAGTAGTAATGGGGGACTTCAATACCCCACTTTCATCAATGGACAGATAAACCAGACAGAAAACCAGCAAGGAAACAACAGAACTAATCAACACTAGACCAATTAGATGTAACAGATTTAATAAACACAGCATTGCATCCTAAAGCTGCAGAATACACATTCTTCTCACCAGTACATGGAACTTTCTCTATAATTGACCACATGCTAGGCCATAAAGCCAGTCTCAGCAGTTTCAAAAAAAATCAAAATCATACCATGCACTTTCTCATAGCACAATGGAATGAAATTGGTTATCAACAACTTAGAAATGTCAAGAATATATACAAACAAATGGAGATTGAACAACATGCTCCTGAATGAACAGTGGGCCATAGATGAACTCCGGAGTGAAAATGTTGGGCTTTCTGCCTGCGGATGCCGCCGAGGAAGCATCCTCGAGTTCTCTCTTCCCACCGCCGTCATGTCGAAGTCAGAGTCGCCCAAGGAGCCCGAGCAGCTGCGGAAGCTCTTCATCGGAGGGCTGAGCTTTGAAATGACCGATGAGAGCCTGAGGAGCCATTTTGAGCAATGGGGCATGCTCACGGACTGCGTGGTAATGAGAGACCCAAACACCAAGCACTCCAGGGGCTTTGGGTTTGTCACCTACACCACCGTGGAGGAGGTGGGTGTGGCCATGAACGCAAGGCCACACAAAGTGGATGGAAGAGTTGTGGAACCAAAGAGGGCTGTGTCGAGAGAAGATGCCCAAAGACCAGGTGCCCACCTCACTGTGAAAAAGATCTTCGTGGGTGGCATTAAAGAAGGCACTGAGCCGGCGCCGCAGCTCAATAGGCTAATCCTCCGCCTAGCGGCGCTGGCACACCAGGTTCTAGTCCCAGTTGGGGCGCTGGATTCTGTCCCGGTTGCTCCCTTCCAGGCCAGCTCTCTGCTGTGGCCAGGGAGTGCAGTGGAGGATGGCCCAAGTCATTGGGCCCTGCAACCCATGAGAGACCAGGAGAAGCACCCGGCTCCTGCCTTCAGATCAGCGCGGTGCGCCGGCCGCAGCACAGTGGCTGCGGCAGCCATTGGAGGGAACAGCAAAGGAAGACCTTTCTCTCTGTCTCTCTCTCTCTCTCACTGTCCACTCTGCACTGAAGAGCAGAAGAGCATCACCTCCGATTACTTTGAGCAGTACGGGAAAATCAAGGTGATTGAGATCACGACTGACCGAGACAGTGGCAAGAAGAGGGGCTTTGCTTTTGTGACCTTCGACGACCATGACTCCATGGATAAGATTGTCATTCAGAAATACCACACTGTGTAGCGTAGCCTCTCCTCCTTTACCAAGATGGCGGCTTGTCCCTGTTTCGCCACAGTTCCTACCTTATGAGCTTGGTTTCCTCACGCTAATAAGAGTGGAACAGCAAAAGCTGGCCGGCTGACAGCGCCTCAGGACAGACTTCCTGGCTACCGACCATTTTGCTGTCACTGACCTGGACTGTGCATTGGCAGGAGACCAGCCATGAGCTCCGTCGCAGTTCTGACCCAGGGGAGCTTTGCCGAACACCGAAGTGGACTGGTTCCACGGCAGATCAAAGTTGCCACTTTAAATTCAGAAGAGGAGAGTGACCCTCCAACCTACAAGGATGCCTTCCCTCCACTTCCCGAGAAAGCAGCGTGCTTGGATGGTGCCCAGGAGCCTGCGGGAGCATGGAGTAACAAGATCTGGCCCATTAAGGTCTCTGTTATCACTCAGGTATTCCATGTGCCCCTGGAGGAGAGGAAATACAAGGACATGAACCAGTTTGGGGAAGGTGAGCAAGCCACGATCTGCCTGGAGATCATGCAGAGGACCGGCGCTCACTTGGAGCTCTCTCTAGCCAAAGACCAAGGCCTGTCCATCATGGTCTCGGGGAAGCTGGACGCTGTCATGAAAGCTCGAAAGGACATTGTCGCCAGACTGCAGATCCGGGCCTCAGCAACTGTTACCATCCCTAAAGAACACCATCGCTTTGTTACTGGCAAAAATGGAGAGAAATTGCAAGACCTGGAGCTAAAAACTGTAACCAAAATCCAGATCCCACTCCCTGATGACCCCAGCAATCAGATCAAGATCACTGGCACCAGAGGGCATTGAGAAGGCCCACCATGAAGTCCTGCTCATCTCTGCTGAGCAGGACAAGCACGCAGTGGAGAGGCTGGAGGTGGAAAAGGCCTTTCACCCCTTCATTGCCGGGCCCTACAACAGACTGGTGGGCGAGATCATGCAGGAGACGGGCACGCGCATCAGCATCCCTCCACCCAGCGTCAACCGCTCTGAGATTGTCTTCACTGGGGAGAAGGAGCAGTTGGCTCAAGCTGTGGCTCGCATCCGGAAGATTTATGAGGAAAAGAAAAAGAAGACCACGACCATCGTGGTGGAGGTGAAAAAGTCGCAGCAAAAGTACGTCATTGGCCTGAAGGGCAACTCGCTGCAGGAGATCCTGGAGAGAACCGGAGTTTCTGTTGAGATCCCCCCTCAGACAGCGTCTCCGAGACGGTGATTCTTCGCGGTGAGCCTGAGAAGTTGGGGCAGGCGCTGACGGAAGTGTATGCCAAGGCCAACAGCTTCACGGTCTCCTCTGTCTCTGCCCCTTCCTGGCTTCACCGTTTCATCATTGGCAAGAAAGGGCAGAATCTGGCCAAGATCACTCAGCAGATGCCAAAGGTTCACACTGAGTTCACAGAAGACTGTAAACTACACACTAAAGGCTCCTGCTGCAAGTTGTTAGACACAGCCTATGACCAGTTCTGTACGGCCTTTCTAGATATTGTTGAAATTTCTCCTGCCAGTGAGGTTTGTCTGGTCCACATTTTAAGCAGAAACCCATGCCCCTAAAGAACCACCGTCTCAGCTGGTGCTGCAGCTCAATGTCTCATAAGCTGCTTGATTCCTCATACAATCTGTGAGTATCATTCCTACCAGACTATTAGTATCAATGAATGGATGAATGCATTGGTTTCTTTTCTCCCCTCTAGAATGAACGCAGGCTGCACAAGTCAAGATTTGTACTTTCTTGTAACTGATACTACCATTGACAATCATCCCTGACACAACCTAGAGAGTCAGTAGACATATTGATGAAAATGTGATTGATCTGCCTTACAAACATGAGCTGGATCTTGCTACAAGCATCTCACACTATTAAAAATAGACTTTGTCTTGCTGCCAGGACTCTGTCCATTACCCAAGGAAAATGGGTAGGAAAGACCAGGGCATGTGAGCACCACACTCTTCCCTCCCCTCATCAGCATCCACACTGTGAGCTCCTGCACTTATCAATTCATCATGACTTGGAAAATGGCAAGATTAAGCCTTGGAGCTCAAGGCCTTTGCTCTACATGCATTTAATTTGTCCTTCTCACACAGTCACAACAACTTACCGAAAATCTACAGATCTTCTCATCTTTGGACTTAAGATCCTTTCATGACCTCCACACATTCAGCAAAATAGACGAACAGTATATGAACTTGCTTGTGCTCTGCCTTTGTAGAATCCTGCAGGTGCATCTCCAAGGCTTCAACTCTCAGGCACATCTGAACGCCTCTCAGATGTCCACTGGAAAGACTTATCTCTGGATAAACACTTCGTGGAAGATGACAGAAGCTGACGGAAATATTTGCACTTTACTTTTTTTCCTGTCTTAATGATGCAATTGCTGGACTGTGAAATACCATATCATAAACAGATTGCTCTCCGAGCCATGAGTCTGGTGAAGACCAAGCAGTACTCCTGTGATTTGTACCATAGTGATTTAGATTGAAATCAGAATAAAGAGAATCTTTCCTGATATTTTTAAGTAGCATAATGAATCTAACTAAATTTAAACTTGCAGTGATGACAAAGCAGGTGTGAGTTCTTCCTGTCGTGGTCACTTCAGATACAATGAGCTGGATAGCAGGCCCTTCTGCTCTGAGAGAATCAGGAATTCTCGAGCATTTCTGTCTTTTAAAAAAATGTACTCACATGGATATTTGAGAAGTTGTGGAAACCACTAAAATTATAAAGCATGGTATCCTAACACATGACAGGGAGAACCTAGCCTTCGGTGATGTCAGTATTGGGAGAAAAGAACAGAGGTAAGAGGCAAGGGGAAATGGAGGGAGTCTTGTTGCATACCATCCTACTGCACACATGCAGGGCTGAGTGTTAAGAGATGTCACAGCAGGTGGCAATGAGGGGGAGCTGTGACAAAGCTGGAGCCTGATTGCAGCTCTACCAGCAGGGGCTGGGGCTTGGAGGGGGGTGGGGGACACAACAGAAGGCACCAAAGGGCTATGCACCAGGCCTGACTCCAGGCCCAGCCTGACTTTCTAGTGCATGGGGCCCTCATGCAGCTGGCTGCACTAAGCAGCCCACCCTTGTGGGTCCTGAGGAGTTGATGTGCTAGGGCTCCTTCAACCTAGGCATGGCCTCCATGGGCTCCTGAATGCTTCACCCAGGGTGCAGCTTGGCCCCCACTGACCACATGTGGCGTTGAAACCTTGGTTGCTGGAGGGCTGCCCCAGCTCAAAGTGGAGCCTAGGACACCCTAGCCACTGCCAGTCTCACCAGAGTTTCCTGTTCTTGGACCCCTCCCCCCACAAAGATGGCTAGGCCTACTTGGGTTGAGGTGCCCAAAGTGGAGGAGCACTTGTGAAATTGCCATGTCACAAGAGGCTATCAGATATTTAAGAAAAAGGCCCCAAACCCAAGTCATTGGGCTGCTGTACAGGAGTGGGAGACCTGGAAGAAACTCCTGGGAATTAAGAATTTTAGGGCCGGCCCTGCGGCTCACTAGGCTAATCCTCTGCCTGCTGGCACCCCAGGTTCTAGTCCCATTTGGGACACTGGATTCTGTCCCTGTTGCTCCTCTTCCAGTCCAGCTCTCTACTGTGGCCCCAGAGTGTGGTGGAGGATAGCCCAGGTCCTTGAGCCCTGCACCTGCATGGGAGACCAGGAGGAAACACCTGGCTCCTGGCTTCAGATCAGTACAGCGCACCGGCCATAGCGGCCACTTGGAGGGGTAAACCAATGGAAAAAGGAAGACCTTTCTCTCTGTCTCTCTCTCTGTGTCTAACTCTGTCTTGTAAAAAAAAAAAAAAAAAGAATTTTAAGTGGGTGTTACTTGTCATACTTGAAGATCTCATTTAGCTCTAAGTCAGCATGTTCCAGGAGATTTTTAGGGGAGTTCTTATAGAAGAGAAGAAACTTGTAAGGTAGCTCCTAACTCCAGGTTTCCAAAAATGCTGCCTCAGCAAAACATTGGAAGAACAAGCAAACTGTGGTGAGCAAGCTCTTTAGATCCTTTTAGATTAGGTTATATGCCTGAATAGGTTTGTGATGGAAGAGGCCTCTTTGATGTCAAGTGTGCACTGTTTTTGTTATGCTACAAGCTACATATTTTTGATAATGGCAAGGATTCTGCTTCCTTGATTTACCATAAAAACTCTAGTTTTTGAAAATGTAGCCCTTGGCATGGCATCAAAGCACCTGCATTCTCCTTAAATGGAGATGCTTCTTGGGAGTTCCTACTTAGTAACTCAAAGTGGGCAAGGTGTGAAACCATATTGCATTTATCTACAGGAAAACCACAATCCACTCTGTTACTAATGGGAGTAATTGTGTTCCATTTTGAAAGGACAGAGTGGGCGGAGTTAGAGTATCACATCTCACATCCAAATCCTAACTTGTGTCTCTCCAGTCATTGTGTGTTTGAGGCAGGCAGGGGCAGAAAAAAATGGCAAATGTATGAGACTGATTTATGGATACTAAGAATAGTTTCATGATGGTGCTGAACAAAATAGTGCCTCTGAATATTCTCTTCTGTGAGTTCTATGGCCATTAATTTGTCTCCTGATATGAGGATGCTGAGATGGGCTAGGCAGATGTAGGTAGATCCAACAAACCAATGGAGGAGGTCTTCCTTTCCACTGCATCTAGGTTATGATGTTTGAAGTTAAGCTGTCTCTGTAATTGGAGTTAGCTAGCTCAGAGCTGAGATTCCAGCTCTGTAATTGCCCACATGTTCTTCCATCAATTGCCCAGAGCATTAGAATCCATCTCTTAATTTTAGTTTTCTCCTTTAAGGTGTTGATTACTTCTAAAATGGAAGTGTAGATAGATTAACACTTCAGTTATTGAAATGTATGTATGCATGGGGTTGGCTTGTGGCATAGTGGGTAAAGCTGCCACCCGTGGTGCCAGCATCCCATATGGACGCCATTTCAAAGTCCTGGCTGCTCCACTTCTGATCCAGCTCCCTGCTAGGGTGCTTGGGAGAGCAACAGAGGATGACTCAAGTACTCACACCCATGTGGGAGACCCGAAAGAAGCTCCTAGCTACTGCCTGGCTCAACTCTGGCTGTTGCAATCATTTGGGGAATGAACCAGTGCATGAAGGCTCACTCGTGCTCTCTCTCTCTCACTCTCTCACTGCCTCTCTGTAACTCTGCCGTTCAAATAAACAACTAAGTCTTTAGAAAAAGGACTTAAGTATGCATGAGTGTGACTATTAGAGTTTCAGGGCTTTAGCATTTAGATTCCTGGGTCTGACTCAGTCCAGTAAAGCTTGGGTTAGGGAGCAACTACTCTCTAAACTTGCCTCAGTTTACCTGGATTCACAGTTGTGCTTGGTGCACTAAAGCAAAAATTCCATTTGGACTCCCCAGCTGTCAGGAGAGAATGGAGGAGAACGCCCTGATTCTCCTTTGGAAGGTCTCGCAGTTACCAGCTGTGTGGTTTCAGATACGTCATTTGATCTCTGCAAGCGTCTGTTTCCACAGTTGTAAAACTCGGGTAATGCCTCTCTCCCACGTTGATGTGGGGATTAGGTGTGCCAACATATAGAAAGCACTATCTAAATGTGTTTCTATTATTATCAGAGGTATTTAAAACATCAGAGTTGAGGTGTAAGATCTTGCAATCCACTCATTAGCCCTGTCAGTGGAGAGAAGAAGGGATTAAACCTGGCAGGTATTAAGCTTCCAGTTTAAGTTTTTTCCTCCCACTCCTATTTGCAAAGCATTTTCTTCCATTGTCGGGAGTCACTGGAGCTTGGGCCAATTACTTGTGTTGACAAGTCATTGAACAAAGTCATAAGCACCTGGCTCTGAAATCTAGGCACCCAATGGCAGCTCCAGAGCCCACCAGGCAGTATGTAATCTTGGGAAATCTTGTCTCTCCCTATCCTGTGCACTCAAGAGCCTGACAGGAGAGACCTGGGTACTGTTAACTCTGCTTCTGTGAGTGGGGAAATACGAGTGAGCCAGAGCTTTCAGACAGGCTTATTGTGTGTTTTTTTGCTTTAGAGTTATAAGCTTTCTTATCAACTGACTCTGAGCATTTGCCATACTTGCAGTGGTCAGTGAGATACACAGAAAGAGCTATACAATGATATGCTAGTAAACGTGCAATAACTGACTGTCTAAAAACCCAGCTGATTTGTAGTGTTTGGCAATTTCCATGGTGTAAATACACTGACTGTAGCCATTTTCGTGCTATCACAGTGATGCCACCACATATGAAGTTGGGAACAGAAGAACACAAACAGTTCACAGAAGCCAGAACTGGATCAGCATCCCACTGGATAGATCCATGCACAGTATGCCTAACAGTGCACATGGAAATCTAGAAACCACACAAAATGTGAATTTGCTGTTAGCGCTGGTATCAATACCCAGTCTCCCCACACTAAGGAAATGTGAGTTCTTTATATAAAACTGGAAAGAATGTTTGGCTCACCTGTCTGGAGTCTGCCTTTTCATCCTGATGATTCTTCCTAATCCTTTTCTGCAGGAAGCCTTCTTAAAGGGTGTTGTATAGATCAGTCAAGGAAAGGATTCAACTGGCCAAAGTACAATTATCACAGATGATTCAAGAGAGTTTTTATTTTGTAGGTAAGTCACCATAGCTATAAGGGAACTGCTGTGGTGAAGGGCAGCATTCTGCAGTGACAGCAAATAGGGCATTAGTCACTAGTGAGCACACTCCATTCTCGTCGTTTTGGTGGATCCTGTGCTTATTCTTTTCCTGCAGGGCAGGCCCACAGCAGGGAGAGGCTGCCCATGCATTGGGACTTAAGCTTGCTGGCAAAACTTCTTCCTTCCATCTTGCTTGAAAAGAATCTTCCCCATCAGCCTGGAATTCCTTTTCTTTTCATAACTTCTAGGACATTAGGGATCCTTTTGTTCCCATTAACAATGTTTTCCTTTTTAAACAGCTTAGCCTGCCTGAGAGGAGGAAGCTAAAAAAGGGGGGAATTGAAAGATCAGCAAAAACTCAAACTTGATTCCTGAACAATTTGTCCTAAGATGTCCTTCCAGATGACAGCCTTGGTTCCTTCATTTTTCAGATTATCTGTTCTAGATATATCCCCAACTGTCCCCCAGTTAATACTTTAGTAGCTTGTAGACTGAGTTCTCAAACCAGAAATCAGCTTTTAAAATGGTTGTTCATTCATTCATCATTTGAAAGGCAGAGGGAGGGCAGGCGCCGCGGCTCACTAGGCTAATCCTCCGCCTTGTGGCACCAGCACACCGGGTTCTAGTCCCGGTTGGGGCACCGGATTCTGTCCCGGTTGTCCCTCTTCCAGGCCAGCTCTCTGCTGTGGCCAGGGAGTGCAGTGGAGGATGGCCCAGGTGCTTGGGCCCTGCACCCCATGGGAGACCAGGAAAAGCACCTGGCTCCTGGCTCCTGCCATCAGATCAGCGCGGTGTGCCGGCCGCAGCGCTCCGGCCGCGGCGGCCATTGGAGGGTGAACCAACAGCAAAAGGAAGACCTTTCTCTCTGTCTCTCTCTCTCTCACTGTCCACTCTGCCTGTCAAAAAAAAAAAAGGCAGAGGGAGAGAGAGAGACAGAGGTGGAGAGAGAGATCTACCATCCACTGATTCACTATCCAAATACCCAGCTAGGCTAGGCCAAAGTTAGGAGTCTATAACTCTATCTGGGGCTCTCACATGGATAACAGAGGCCCAAGTACCTGGGTCATGTTCTGATGCCTTCCCAGGTGCATTAGCAGGGAATTAGATGGGAAGCAGAATAACTAGGACTCCAACCAGCCATCTTATATGAGATGCTAGTCTTGAAACCAGTGACATAACTCATTGTACCACAATTCCAGTCACTCAAACCATAAATCATTATGAGGGCTTTAGTAACAACTTACTAATTTTTTTAAAAAAATTATTTATTTACTTGAGAGGAAGAATTACAGACAGAGGGAGAGACAGAGAGGTCTTTCAACTGCTGGTTCACTCCCTAGATGGCCACAAGGGTCAGAGCTGGGCTGCTCAAGAGCCAGGAGCTTCTTCTTGGTCTCCCACGCAGGTGCAGGGGCCCAAGTACTTGAGGCATCTTCAGTTGCTTTCCCAGGCCATGGCAGAGCTAGATCAGAAGAGGAGCAACCAGGGCACAAACCAGCACCTGCCTATATGGGATGCCAGTGCTGCAGGTGGAGGCTCAACCTACTATGCCACAACACTTGCCCAAATCATTAATTTATTAAATTCAACATTAAACCTTGACCCTATCCTTGAAGAATTCAAAATTCATTGGGAGAGATATTTTAAAAAACATATTACATATAATCTTTGTCCTATTAGAAAATTATTTCCAAAGGGCTGATGATACCCAAAGAAAATACTCTTCAGCAATATTTAGTTAGAACACTGGAATGATATGGCCCTGGTTTCAAATACTAATTCTGATGCATAGTAAGGGCGAAAGTTAACTTATCTGACCATAAATGTTTGTAGTACTTTTTCTTACATAGGCTAGTAGTGACACTTGGGCTGGACTTCAACTTCCAGGAGAACAGGCATTTTATTTTGTTCACTGTTAGAATTCGAAGCCATAGAAAAGTGGCGCCTAGTAAGTGGTAATATATATTTATAAAACAAGTCCTATAAAGTGTTTAATACCATGTCTATAAATAATTAATAAAAGCCATCACTGTTTAATTTACACTCTCAGAGAAAATAAGCAATGATTCTGGATGTGAAATTAGGAAAAGATTTTGGATTATTTTAATTTTTAAGGTTTATTTGAAAGAGAAACAGAGTGAGACAGAGACAGATACACACAGAGAAATCTTCCAACTGGTTCACTTCTCAAATGCGTGCTATAGCTGGAGCTGGATCAGGCAAAAGCCAGGAGCCAGGAACTAGGTCTCCCTTTTGGGTGGCAGAAACCCAACCACTTGAACTGTCACCTGCTACCACCCAGGAAACACATTAATGGGAAGCTAGAATTGGAAGCAGAGATAGGACTCAAACCAGGTGCACCGATACGGATGTACGACTTCCAACTGGCATTGCCACTGCTGTGCCAAATGCCCAGCCTTAAGAAAAAGTTTATAGAATGGAGGGAGACATAAGAGATTGAAGAGACATAAAAGATCTTAGGAAATCCAGTGGATATTGCTAGGAGAGGAAATAGCCCATGGTAGTCGTGAGTAACAAATCCCAGAGAGAGTGAAATGATAACCTGAATGAGCTATAGCAGCCAAAAATGGACCACAGCCACCCATTAGCTTCACTGACCTTCTCTTTTTATCTGGGCCATCCACTGATAATAATGATCACAGCTAAGTGCTTACAACATATTAAGCTTCTAACATGTTTGAGTATTAACTTGCTAAATCCTTACAACAATACTTTGAGATTGGTACTGTTAGAATCTATTTTAAGGGCTGGCGTCGTGGCTCCCTTGGTTTATCCTCTGCCTGCGGCACTGGCATCCCATATAGGCACCTGTTCTAGTCCCGGTTGCTCTTCTTCCAGTCCAGCTCTCTGCTGTGGCCCAGGACGGCAGTGGAGGATGGCCCAAGTGCTTGGGCCCTGCACCCCATGGGAGACCAGGAGAAGCACCTGGCTCCTGGCTTCGGATGGGCGCAGCACCTGCCATAGCTGCCATTTGGGGGTGAACCAACGGAAGGAAGACCTCTCTCTCTCTCTCTTTCTCTCTCTCTCTCTCTCTATATATATATATATATATGTAATTCTACCTGTCAAAAAAATCTATTTTAAGATAGTTAGGAAAGGAAGGTAAAGCCAGGTTGGCTAACTCACCTAAGGTTCACCATGAGTAAGTGAAATAGTCAGGCTTCAGAACAGTTGTGGCTCCAGAATTTTGTTCTCAATGTCTATGTTAGGTAGTTTCCAAATCACAGACAGATTTTATTTTCAGTCTTTTGAGTTAAATACTGTCTGACCAGTACCTCCAGGCTCACAGAAGCCTTGAAGTTATGAATGACTATGTAGCTTTTAAGGCAACATTATGTGATCAGAAATGATCTATGCTTCTTATGTTCTGTACCAACTTTGAGGAGATTGTGAAGTCCAGGTGTTTGACCCCCAGGAAAGCTAAGCCTCTGTCCAGCTAAATTGCTGAGGCTGCGTACAGAGCATATGTCTGGCAAACATGACTAGTGCCATAACATGTGAGGAAGAATGAAATGTGGTTGTAATGCTTGTTGGGATAGTTGGTCACCACAGTGTAACCTGATAGACTGATAGAACTGCATATGCACAGACTCTGCTTCTGATTAGGTGGGCTCAGCGCTTGACTCCTGAGCTAATTCTTCCTTCCCAAAGCTTACATCAACCCATTCACCGTGTTCTTTTTTCAGAGCAGTGGATATGAGTACTGTGCCTAATATCCCAGTCTTTCCTACTAGGTTGCACTCTGTTTGCACTTGTCAATTCTACTCCCCCAGGAGCTGAAGTTCTGGCTCAGAACTGCTACCTGTACATGGGTCAGTCAGGTACCTACCTGCATGTTGTCTGGCATTATATTTTAATAAAGCACTCTTCTCAATTCCATTGGTCCCTGAAAACACAGTTGAATACTTCTGTGTATCACAGCATATTCTTTTTTAAAGATTAATTCATTTGAGAGGTAGAGTTACAGAGAGAGGGAGAGACAATGAGAGACAGGTCTTCCATCCACGGGTTCACTCCCCAAATGGCCGCAACAGCTGGAACTGGGCTGATCCGAAGCCAGGAGCCAGGAGTTTCCTCTGGGTCTCCCACATGGGTTCAGGGGCTCAACCACTCTGGCCATCCTTTACTGGCTTCCCAGGCCATAGCAGAGAGCTGTATCAGAAGTAAAGCAGCCAGGACTCAACCTGGTACCCATATGAGATGCATTGCCAGCTTTACTGGCTACATTGTAGCACCAGCCCCGTAATACATTCTTGATAAGCTTTTCTGGTTACCCAGAACTATTTTTTAAAAAAATATTTATTTATTTGAAAGGCAGAGTTACAGAGAGACAGAAAGAGATATAGAGATTTTCCATCCAAGGATTTACTCCCCATATGGCTGCATTGGCCAAGACTGGACCAGGCTGAAGCTATGAGCTGGAGTTTCATCTGAGTCTCCCACTTGAGTTGCAGGGAATCAAGATTTTGGGATATCTTCCACTGCCTTCCCAGGCACATTAGTAGGGAGCCATATTGGAAGTGGAATAGCTGGGACTCAAACCAGTGCTCAAGTGGGATGTTGGCATTGCAGATGATGGCTTAACTCCATGTGCCACAACACCTGCCCCCTATGTAGAACCATTAAGTCTCAGCCACAGCTGCTCCTTACCCCTTCCCTCCCTTACCAGGTCATTGCTAATGTCTGATTTTGGCTTTTCCTGGCATTATATCTCATTTATAGCTATGAATCTATCTTTGTCTTCTTAGGTAATGTCATCCATATTTCCCTAGAATAGTCATAGCAACAATTCAGAAACTTCATTGGTATTGCTAGAACAGGCTCAACTTCTAATTATTTACTATACAATCCCTTACTTGTTGGATCTTTCAAGTGTTCTTTATATTCTACTGCCAAAGATAACAAAAATTATGTTAAAATTAATAATTCGTATTGGAAACTTGGACAAGGAACCAAGAGAAAAAGTTTAAACAGAGTAGAATATTACTTTAGCTGCAAATAATTGCAGCAGGATTCCCTCCCTGTGGCTTGCATGCCATAGATGAGCCCTGCGCCTCAGGAGTGAATGGGACTTGGGAATACAGTGGGATATTACTCCCATGGCAGTGTTGCATTTTACAGTGATGTAAACTAATAGTGTATTTTGCAGATGTAATGAGGTTCCCAATCAGTTGACTTTGAATCAACAGAGAGCTCTTTCTTAGCATCTAGCCTGACCCAATCGGAAGAACTTGGAACAGACTGGTAACAGTAGCAGCCAT